ACTTCTCCACTAGCCCATGTTAACATTTTCATTCACTCCAGGAGTGACTGCACTTTGGTGATCCAGATTATGTGCCCCAAGCAGCCGAACAGTGTAACGTGCACGGTTTCCCCCTCCCATGTGCCTAATTCGTGCCATTTACTTAGTTTGCACATTTTAATTTACCAAATTTGCTGTTTTGCACAGTTCAGGCTTTCACTTGTACAGGGGGAGGCAAAGAGAGTGGGGGCCTCCAGCACCTACGGGGAGCCAGGGACGGAGAGGGATTGTGATCTGCACCAGCAGCAGAACCTTCCGGTCATCTCAGGCTCACGGCCGGATGTCTGAATCATGCCGTCTTGTCTTTTCAATGTCCGCTCTCAACGTTGCCACAAACTGAACAGTTGAGGCAGTTTGGGCCACACCGATCGGTTTTAAGCAAACAGCTTGCGTGTGGAATGGGCGCACGGGCGCATACAACACCAGTCAGCTCTCACCCTACCTAGCAAAATGTATAGAAGAAACTTGTTTAGAGGAGATCTGTGTGTGTGTGTGTGGGGGGGAAACAGGGGAGGGGGTGTGGCCCTTTGGCCTTCTTCCATGCAGCACCTATCAGAATAATTAGACACCATTCCCTATCAGGCTGTTAAATATTAATATTCCTTGCAGATATCCTTTGTTTACCCTGGAAAACGGCCAAAATGGGTTTTTCCTCTCTCCCTCCCTCTCTCTCTCTCTCTTTGTTCAGAGAGCTTTGCCAGAACACAGTACTATCAACAGGCTCTTGAGCAGCTTCAGAAGGACCCAGAAGCCCTGGAGGCACTTGGCGCTCCTCCTCTAAAAGTACATTACATCAGGCTGACAGACAAGCACAATTGCGTTGATGTATCAAGAGCGCAGGTAACAGCCAGTTGGATTAAAACCTGATGAAGGGGAAAAGAAACACCTGGGGGGGGGGAGAACAGGGAATGCTAGCAAAATAAAGAGCAGAACCAAGTTTGAGCCCAGTGGCACCTTTAACATCAACAAAGTTTTATTCTGGGTATAAGCTTTTGGAGAAGCGTGCATGGCACACAGAAGCTTATATCCAAAATAAAACTTTGTTGGTCTTCAAGGTGCCGCTGGACTCAGGATTTGTTTTGCTGCTTCAGACCAACATGGCTACCCACCTGAAAACAGAGAGTAATTTACGGCGTAGCCTTAAGACAGGAGCATCGCCAGCCTAGCATCTGCATAAAAATACTCCCTATGCTGCAACGCGAACATTCACTACATCAGGGACGCAACCCTCTAAGACTACTTAGTGCAACCCACAAATTATGTTAAGTCACCATATCTGCGTTTGAACTGTTTTTGCCTAACTGAAAGCAGATGCTAACCTGGTGTGAATTATGTGCATGAGTTCAGAAAGTCTGAGTTTATGGGATAGGATTTATCAAAGCCCCAATCCAGCAAGGGAGATCTGGGTGTGCAGATTTGCCCCATATCTGCTAGAAGCATGAATGCAGAAGCTCTCAAATTCAGTACACTTTAAAAAAAAACAACCCAGAGTTGTATTAGGGAGTTGCTAAGCAGCCTTCCAATTTTACTAGATAAGGATCCAGGGTCTTAAACAGGTGTTGTCTTGCGGTAGCTGGCGACATGACTTTGTGTATGTGACCAGTAAAGCTGGATTTGTACTTTATTACACCAACATGGGAGCTGCCTATGGTCACGTATGGCAAAATAACAGGACAAGGCTAGTTGAATGGTTCTCTTACACATGAACACAGTTGCAGTATGAAAGCACCCTCAGTCACTTACAAAATATGATTGAAAGTAAGGATACATAACTCCAGTCCCTGAAACACCGTAGTAGAGTATCTGGGATCTGCTGTAATATTCGGACACCTGGGTTCAGCCCACCCATTCTCCTTGTGCTGAAACGCTGTCGGTATGATTTAATAAGGACTTGGCTCTAGATTTTTGCAAGGGAGGGAGGGATACTTGGCTGTGTGTATTTATAAAAGTGCATGGTGATCAACCTGAGTTATTTGCGATTTGGAAACAGTATCTAGATAGGAAATCTATTCCAAAGTTGTGCATTCTCTGCTAAGTAAATATATTCTATCAAATATTAAATCAAAAGAATTTGCCTTTTTTATATACTTGCAGATAAAGATACCAGTATCTGGAACAAAGACTGGTGGATATCTTTATGTCAATTCAGAAAAAGACTTCTCCCTCAACAGGTATCTATCTATCTATCTATCTATCTATCTATCTATATATATATATATACACACACAACATAAATCTGTGTTCCAACAATTGCTTCAACATCACCCTAGCACTCTTGAAGACATTTGGAATACTGTGTACAGTTCTGGTCACCACACCTTAAAAGGGTATTATAGCTTTGGAAAAAGTGCAGAAAAGGGCAACTAGAATGATAAAAGGGTTGGAACACTTTCCCTATGAAGAAAGGAGGTTAAAGCGCTTGGGGCTCTTTAGCTTGAAGAAACAATGGCTGAGGGGTGACATGATTGAGGTTTATAAGATTATGCATGGGATAGAGCAGGTAGAGAAAGAGGTACTTTTCTCCCTTTCTCACAATACAAGAACTCGTGGTCACTCCATAGTCATGCCGGCCACATGACCACGGAAACGTCTTCGGACAGCGCAGGCTCTTCGGCTTTGAAACGGAGATGAGCACCACAACCCTAGAGTCGGATTCGACTGGCTTTCGAGCAAGGGAACCTTTACCTTTACCTTTTATGCAAGGCAGCGGTCAAAGCAAAGAGGGCAAAAGAAAGGAAATAAGGCTGATTTTGCACAGCACACATGAAGCTGCCTTATACAGAATCAGACCGTGCATCCATCAAAGTCAGTATTGTCTATTCAGACTGGCAGCGGCTCTCGGTCTTGGGGGGGGGGGGTCTTTCACATCATCTACTGCCAAATCCTTTAACTGGGGACTGAACCTGGGGCCCTCTGCCTGCCAAGCAGATGCTCTACCACTCAGCCATGGCCAATCCTCCCTCCCTCCTCCCTTTTTAGGGAAATAAGTGATCTTCCCAAGTCTAAGTCACATAATTTGTTGATTAATTCTTTATCGTTGATCCCATACTCCCTAAATAGTAAGAGGAAGAATTATTTAAGTGGCTGACAACACAAGGTCACTTTCATAGGGGTGTGTGTGCTGCTCTATATCATGCAGCTGTTTCTGCCACTTTCATAGGGGGGGTGCTGCTCTATATCATGCAGCTGTTTCTGACATTTCACTGGGTCACCTGGGCCTAACCGCACCGTGCTTCCTATTTTTGCTCACACTTACCAAGATGCCTTCTGCTAGTACCACTAAACATTTATTTAGCACCAGCAATGAGTTTTGTAGGGGGGGGGGGGAATTCCGCGCATAGGCAGTGTCCCGATTCGTTCTCATTCTTTCTCAAGACACACCAGTGATGGTGCACCACATTTATGAGAGAAGGGGGGGGGCACACCCACTTCAGATGGTGCCCGGCAGCTTCATTGAGGACATACGTGTGCTTATGCTGGCAGGAGGCCCAACCCTTTTCTCTGAATTCCGCGTCCTCCTGGTCAGGAAGCTAAATGTCTTCTGGCTTATGTAAGAATTGGTCACAAACAGGGCAGCTGGTTTCCTTTCTCTGGACTAAAAAGAATAACTGCGTGTGAAAGAAAGCTGGCATGTCGAAACAGCTTGTACTAGCAATGCTGCAATGCTCCGGGCCAAGGCACCCACTGTTGCAAAGCCATCTCGGCTGTACGAAAGCAGGACCTTCCATACCCAGCTTTCCTTTTAGTCTGCCAACACGACAGCCTGTATGACAAAAGTTATAATGCGCATCCAGTTGAGAGGTAAGGAATCCAGTGCAACAGTGTAAATGGTGTAAGCCTAGCAGTATTTTTCTTCTTTTAAAGCCCTTGGAGTAGGCGAGAGACCCCCACAGCAGTGTTCCCTCTAAGGTGAGTTAGTGTGAGCTAGCTCACAGTTTTTTAGCCTCCAGCTCACAGATTGTTGTCTTAGCTCAGGAAGGGAGGGCTCCAGAGCAAACTAATTTCTGCAGTAGCCAAATGGCTCACTCACAGCTTTAATGCCAGTAGCTCACAAAGTAGAATTTTTGCTCACAAGACTCCACAGCTTAGAGGGAACATTGCCCCACAGTACTGAAGTAACCTTTAGAATGCATTCCCACACATTCTTTGGAATTTGGAGAACACGACAGTGCCATCAGGGACAGACTGAGAAGGTTCTTATTTCCACTAGCTGGCGTCTGCAGGAAGCCACACTACAACTCCGAGAAGGTCACCATATCCCAGTGTACCCTTCGTCGATGAAGATCGCTGCTCAGGATGACCTCTAACTGCAGCCTGCTCAAGTATCTTCATAAGCCAGTGAACAGATGAACTGACAACAGTAAGAGGAGCAAAATGTGCTTGTCTTTTTTAAAAAAATATGGTGCTCATTCCCCCCCCTTCCCTACCCTTTACCGGTTACAAGGCTCAAAGACGATGGGGGGCACTAAAGGCCAGCAGCTGCTCAAGGGACACTAATTTTGACTTCTGGGCAATCTTAGGAGGGGCTGGGATTAAAAATAAAATTATGACTAGATTGTCTAATTGAAGTGCGATGAAGCTACTGCACCAATTCCCCCCCCTTCTTCTAATGAGCTTAAGAGTGGCTTAAAGGTTTGCAGACATTTTATGGTTCAAATGATAGAACTTTGTTGAGGAGCTGAATATATCTGGGCCTGTCACCCCCCCCCCCTCCAGAGCGTCTATCGTATGATTTAATGCACGTAGCTTGCAGTTTTAGTACCTGAACTCTTGCAGCTCCTAACATCAATAAATCAATTTCTTTCAACCATGATCATGTATATATAAACAGGCCTCATTCTGATACAGGTGGCTTCTACTAAGAATGAAAGCTGTAAACATTGGCTGGAATCTAAAGAGCTGTTTAGGCACGCTCAAACTGGTATCTGCCCTGTATAAAAAAAAAACCCAACCACAAGCATGCACCATCTTTACAGTCTGCTTTAAAAGTTCTCTTTCAAAAGTGCCTTTTGACTGGTGATTAGGAATATTACATGCAGTTCTTTGGATCCTAGGCCCTAAAAACAGCCTTAATTACATATTATACTTGCACATTAAATCCTTTCCATTTAGTCTGTAAAAAAATAGCCTACTTTTCTTTCTGCTTGCAGATCTGGTTATTTCATTTAGGCTCTTAACACAACAGAAGCCGTATTTTATTAAAAGGACTGCCTGAATGAACATTAGGCCTTCAAAAGAGAGACATTAACCACAACAGAACTCTTTTATTATGCCTATATACCTTTCTGTCATGAGTTAAAGAAAATGGGGAAGTAATCTCTACTGAAGCAGTACTATGGCCAGAAGTCACCATCCTATTTGAAGCATTCCTGGAATAAGTACTGAAAGATAAATCATAGGCCAGCCACTAGCTTCAGTTGCCACACTATTACGAAGCCTTCACAAATGTGTTCTGCCCAAAGGATTAATAGGTACCATTTTATCAAGCAGATATCATTCCTCCTTTAAACAGTGAAATATACCATACATGAACTTCACTGCCTCTCCAATTTTCCTGAATCAAATGTGCAGAAATGAACTGAAGTAATTCCCAGGAGGTGGTGGATTCCACATACATAACTCAGTGCACAAAGGCGTATAGAGAAGATGTGCAGCTGGGTATGCACCCGAACAAATGCAAGTGTTTGTCTACACTGCATGGTTTTTTAACAGGATGCATGTCGCAGTAAGCCAAACCGGGATTCCTGTCCCCTGTACAACTTGTCTTGCATAGATACCATTCTCACATGCAACTACAGCTGGACTGGGGCAGATGGCAACTTTTCAGCTTTGCATATGTCCTTGGTACGTAACTGAACTAATAACTGCAATGCCCCTGATGATGCACATTGTGATCCTGCAAACAACCAGGTCACAGCCCTGCAACTGCAGCCGACTGTGGCACTGATGTGCAACTCTGAGGTTACGTGAGGTTTTCAAAAAAAGTTACTGCATTTCATTCAAATCAGGACGAAGATCGAACATTTGTAAAAGGTGAATCCATTTATTAATCCCCTTAACGCTTAAATATAATGCTTACATATGTAAAATATCAAGATGCTTATATACATTTTCTAGAGCATTAGCTATTGCCCTCATTAGCTGTATCACTGTTGGGGCTACCATTGTGAAAAATAGCAGTGAGCGGGCGTTTCAGCCATTCATCCATTCACTGACTTAATTAGCTCCTAATCCAAGCAACAATGCTACTGAATAGAATTGGCAATTTGGAGTCTAGTTGTGGCAGAGCAATTTCTAGCCACGCAGAGAAGGCAGCGCTACACAGAATAAATATACTGTTTGAGCTTTGGCTCGGCTGAAGATTCGAAGTGCAGCCCACAGACGTCAGCTGCTAAAGCCAGGTGATAAGGTGAGCTCGGGCCAGTTTAAGAGTTCCACCTGAAGGCCTCTGCAATGGAATGCAAAGTAACTGAATACAGAAGAAAGGGGAGCGTTTCCCCTTTTACAGCAACACAAAACGGGAGACGTTCAAGCAACGCTTGTGATCTTGAACACTGTGCAGCCCGCAATAGTCTTGCGATGGTCACTAACTTTTATGAACTTTGTGGAGACTGTTCTGGAAGAGTGGGGCTAAAGCTGGTAACGAAAGAGTTGCCTCCTACCTTCAAACTGTAAGTTTGGCTTTCTAGAGGATGCTGGTACAGCGACCGTTACTTTAATCTGTTAAGGGGAACAGAATGGCTTTACATTTAAGGCATAGCACAGGCAATGAAGCATTCTTGATTTTGGTTCCACTTCAAGGAATACAACCACCCTTTGGGATGCTAGATGCCTTTCTTTTTGCTCCTATGGGAACCGGGAACCCAGAACCCACATGCAAGTTAAACAGCTTTCCAGATCCTATAGAGTCTATTAGAGCCTTTGAAAACTGTATGCATAGTATGCAAGTGCTAAAGATCGTTAAAGAACTGGAAAAACCAGTTACTATATCTTTGCATTGCCAACAGAAGAACATAATAGGCCTTCTGTGTTTAAAGGTAATAATTCTATAACCATAATAAATGGTAGATTCTGCATGTGTTTAAAGGCATGGCACTGTGTTTTCAAACCAAGTTACAGTACACTATGACCTCAGTCACTTTGGACAACCTGTAACGTCCACCTTACTCTGTTTCTTTTCATTTTTTTCCTTGTGACTGCGATATTTACAAGTTGTTCAGACCACAAGCTTGGCTCCACAGTTTCAAGTTAGCAGTCACTTAGAGGTGGTAAACACCATTAGAACCAACTAAAATGAATCTGCAGCTTTAGGGGCTGAGCATTCCCTGTAACAGGAGAGTAGCACCATACTCTGCAGAGAAGAGGAAGAGAGACTGCAGTATTTCAGAACAGAGTTGCCGTGCAGAACGGTAATCACAGGAAAAGATATACTGGAGATTATACTCCTTTCTATTCTTGGAGAATTTTCCTAGGCTTGTCTTAGAATGTACAATTACAGATTCATTTCCCCACAAGTTTAATTTCCTGCTGTACTTTGTCAAATTCGCAAACCTATTCACTACCATCAGAACCTTCAGGTTTTTCTTAGTACCCTTACTGACCTGCATGCTCACAAAATTGAATGGGAATGGGCTGACAGCCTCATGAAAGTGTATTGCTTTTTCTTCCATTAGAGCTTATTTTGCTTAAATTAAGCGTCAAGATTTCTGCAGCTTTGTGCACACTCGAAACAACTTGATTACTGTACGAAACCCACCTTAAGGCACAGCAAGTTAATACAGGATACAGAAAACACTTTCAAGCAGCCAGCCCCAAAGCAGCTGGCCTTGTTAGAGGTCCATTAAATTCACATATAAAATAGCTTCTTAAGTATATCACTGTACAAACTAAAAAGGTACTGGCAGGGAGGGGGAGGAGACAGCTGAAATGCAGCTCAAAGTCTGCCTTTTAGAACTTTTGTGTTAGAACAGTTATTGGAGTATAGACTATACGATAGCTGATATAGCTAAAGTAATTTAAATTGCAAACCTCTGCAAGGTCAGGAAGGTCATAAATTAACTTCTCTCACAGAATTTTAAACATGGATCCAACTTCCATCTTCTCACCAAACTAATCCTTTCAGGTAATGAAATAGGAACCAAGGTCAAATATTTTCTCAATAGTCTGGGACAAAATAGGGAATGTTTCTTGTAACCAAACACTGATACAATGTATGCTTCAGCCCAGTACATATCGGACACAAGCTTGCTGAAACTCTACAGAGAGGTTCTGGTCGACCCCTAGTACACAGCGGGTTTTTTTACAGACTTTTCATTACTACTCACAGTTCTGTTAACACAAGTTAGCATGCTTGGGTAATTTTCTTTACAGCACAAGGGAAGCTAAAAATGTCCACTGTTTCATGGAAAATAGATATGTATTATTTAGTCTGGATCAATTTAAATACTACACTATTGTTATGAAATCAGTCTTCATGGAAGAGGGCATTTCAACATCGAACAACTATTTAACCAGGCAGTAATAAAGAAGTTTGCACTGGAGAAGCAACAGAACAATCATGAAGAATTACTCTGTCCAAAGCCCACACATCTTAATAAATGCAGACAAGTAACTGCATAGGAATGCGCTGGATATGTAAAATTTCCAGAAATTTTGAAGCTGTGAGGTAAAAAACAGAACTGGGGGGGGGGGACGGGACGGGACGGGACTGAAATATGCAATACTTAGAACATAGTTTGAGTCCAATGGCACCTTTCAAACAAAGTTTAATTCTGGGCAGGCACACACAAGTTATACCCAGAATTAAACTTCGTTCTTCTGAAAGGTGCCATTGGATCCAAACTTTGCTCTGTCACTTCAGACCACCACAGGTGCCCATCTGAATGCAATACTTAATTTTCTAGCAAACCAAAGCTTTCCCACTGATCTAGCAAAACGAAACGCACCCTTTAAATTCCCTAAATATGCCAAAAAGTACAGTTTTATGTGTTAAGTTTTTCTATAAGAAAAACACCAAGTACTTGAGGAAGAATTGCAAAGTGCTGCACTTCGTGCTAACATGGTACATTGATCTTAATTTTTGCTGTCTGAGAGGCAGAGAAAAATAGGTGGAAGTATAAAACAAATTCTGCAGTAAACACAAAGCATTACTTGGGCAGAAATACTCGTATTATCACAATAAGTAGGACTACCAGCATATTTGGATATTAAACTTCATAACATTGAAAACACTGACCTCTTTAATAACGTGTCATCATAAACCATGTTATAGCATATTGTTGCCAAAATTATTTACATTTAAACAAGATTCTTGAAAATGTTGTATCTGTCTATAAGTATACATATGACATTTTTTAATGCTGTAGACTGTCTTAAATAGAAAGCCCATACTCTATATTTGGGGGGAACTTTCACTCATTCCAGAAGTGAAAAAGTTTCCACAAATTTCCCAGTTTTCACTGGAAAATTAAAAATGTCCTCAGACTTTTTCATGCTATACATTTGGAACGAGTGGGATGCTTTTTAGGACATGGTTATTCTCATTCAAAAAAGAGAAAAAAATCCACAGGAATTTTTTTTAGTGTTCTCCCAAATTTCCCATTTGTTCCAACAGAAAACCTGCAAAAAATGGTAATAACAACCCTAACAGGACCCCCCCCCCTTTTCCTAGGCCTTCGCATCTCTAGACTGCACAATAAATTGTTTAGAAGTCCAGTGCAACTTCTACTGAAACCAAAGACAAATAGCTAATATGAATAAAAGGAATGTTGCAGTGTGCACTCTGAAAGGCAGTAAATATCCATTTGATCTCCATAAGCTATACAGTCTTTGTGCCCTTTATAGCTTGATTGTGTGTGGGGGGAGGGGAGGCATTTGTTTGACTCTTCCTATAAGAATATAAAGAGGTAATGCTGCAAGAGAACCACTGGGAAAATGTACATAACGGAAGCAAAAAATCAGTTTCCAGCACCAGAAACAGCAACAACAAGACACAAATGAAGAAGCCAGTTTAGAAGGAGAAAGTCAAGAGCACAATGCCACGAGGAAAAAGAGACAAGTAACGGCCACTAATTAGAAAAGCTGGATGCAGCAGAAGGCAGCAGATTTCACATGATGGAAACTGAAACACAAGTGCGTGAGATTGCCCTGGTGCCTGGAAGAAAGCAAGCTGGCCATGAAGAAGTGGGAACAAGGCCGCCACCACTCCACTGTGGCCACCTTGGTCCTCTCCTGGATGGCTGCCGTGGTGGTGATTTCGCTCTCTCTTCCCTGTGGTAAGCTTGCTCTTCTCATAGGTTGGGATGAGTGTAGAAGCTGCAGAGAAGTGAGTGTTGGAAAGGCCCTTTCGAAACACAGGGGGTATGCCACTTTGGAGAACAGTGCTTGGAAGAGCTTCAGATACCTTTCAAGCCACTGGGTGAATGTCTCTGGCCTCACACAAATATTCTAAAACAGCCCCCTCCCAATGACTTACACACACAGTTGCTTAGTGCTTTAGAAGGAACCTGTTTAAGGCAGAACATCATTGTACCATGAAGAAATCCATAACCCAATGAGGAAAGAAGGAAGCACCATGCAAAATCATTTAGGGTAAAACAGCAAAGGTTTCCACACAAGCGTTATTTCGTCTAAATAGTGCTACATGGCTTGAACAACCAAGTGAAAGCAGAATCAGATCACACATTTCAGAGTTACACCTCCAGGGAGAAGAAGAAGCTACAGGCAAGTTTTGCCCAAATATTAGTCTCTCTTGGTATTCTGATGCACGCAGTAAGCCTGCAATCATGAAGACCAACAAATTAAACAGCAGCTATACAAAAGCTTTAAACATACCAACAAAAATCAGAAACATTGCCTTAAGCTCTCACATCCATAGGATACCTCTCATATACTTACTTCCATTAAAATTAAAGAGGTTGGCACAGTTTTCTAGTTGGCTTTTAATATTTTCCTCCTGTATCTAGAAGGACATACGCACATGGCTATACATAAAATGTGGGAGGCAAAGGACCAGTCTCCCAAATTAGTTTCAGAGTCTCAAGGGGAGAAGCAAGTCACAACTCAGTAAATAAACTCTCCGGGCAATTCTTGCAACAATGGTTCCTCAAACTTAAACCTCTTGGAAATGGCTTTTTGTTCAACAATGTTGTCTTTTTCTGATTGCCTACATTGTCCCAGGGTATATGAAGCCACTACAATCAGCTCTTCTGTCACGACTGATTCTTCTGTTTTTTCTCCGTCTACAGAAAGTTCAGAAGTGGAATCTTCCTCGTTTACAGTAAGAGCGTCTGCTGCTTCTTCTATGTTCTTACTCCAGCACAGAGTCTCAGGAATATCAGTTTGTGCTAGCCATGAATGTAACAAGCATTCTTCCGCAGTTGCCCTTTCCCTAGACAAAACAGAAACCATTGGCTCAAGGAATACAAGAATAAAAATGCATTTCAGAATCAGTTTCCCACTGCAAAAAACTTCCCACACTTATCACATTGAGGACAACGTATAGGATGTGCGTGCACAGAAAGGCAAGCTGTATAAGCACACTAGCATCAGCCGACCTTGCCATTACCATGTTTTACACTTTCCCTATAACAACTCAATCATCATTGCAAAGTCTGTGCATGCAGCGGGCCCTGGTCCCATGACACCATCCTTGAGACTTGGAAAAACCATGACATCTGCATGGCAGCAGCCAGTCATTTTGACAGCCACTCCACTGCAAGTCACCAAGAATGTTTTTGCAGTAATGTGAAGACAATCCATACGGTTAGCGGCCGCACACGAACTGTACTCAGGTGCCATTTTACCTCTTGGACAGCCACTCCACTGCAAGTCACTGCAAGTTTTTGCAGTAATGTGAAGACAATCCACACGGTTAGCAGCTGCACATGAACTGTACTCAGGTGCCATTTTACCTCTTGCAAGTATTTCAGGCAACTGGGCTCTTCGCTCAGATGGCTCCCTGCACACTCCTCCTCCTACCCTATTTAAATATTTCAGTTAATATAAACCCGGTCAAGATTAATTCCTGGATTTGACAGGAGAGATGGGCTATTTCCCCCCTCTACCACAATTCACTTATAAGGGCAGGGGCTGATAATAAATTGGGACATACTGAATATGAATACACAAAAAGATTCTAGAGTTTGCAAAAAGTTCAAATGGGGCCATAGCTCAGTGGCAGAGCATTGGTTTTGCATGCAGAAGGTTCCAGCATCTCCAGTTAACATGATAATGTACAAGGTGATTCAAGAGACCTGAGACAGCTGCTCGCAGTCAGAAGACAGTTGATACACTTAGTATAAGACTGTTTCTTGTGCTCAAATACACCCTCCTCAAAGTAGTAAAACACTGTTAAAGAAGGAAGCAGGACTGCTAGTATCAAGCCAAAAGCATTAAAGTAGCTACAGCCTATGAGCCAGTTTCTGGTTTATTCTTAAGAACTATGTACGATTCTTGCTAAGTCCACTACTGATGCCAAGTCATGACACAAAGGTGACCATGCTGCTCACAATACCTGTTGAAGGACAATTTACCTTTTGTGCTGGAGCCCAATGGCTTGGCTGGTAGAGCAGCAGCTGGTGGGCATGCACGTGGCTTTGTAAAGGGCGTAAGAGTGAAAAAGAACCCAGGATCTCAAGTGGGCTGTTGAAGTAGCCATGGGTCTCCTATGGCTGGCGCAATGATGGGCCTAACCTTTTGAGCACTTTGTTGTTGTTGTTCAGTCGCACAGTCAAGTCCGACTCTGCGACCCCATAGACCACATCACGCCAGGCCCTCCTGTCTTCTGTCATCCTCTGGATTTGAGTACTGATTATTCAAGTGGCCAGTACAGCACAACTAGGTGACCGTTTCCTTTGCTAGCCCTGTTCAGAATGCTACTTTTACTACTGCTGCAGTAGCAGCAACACTGACATTACTAGAGAAAAAGATTAACTAATCAAAACTGGCTTCTTTACGAGGAAGCAAATGGTCATTTTTAGGCTGAGGACATCATGGATTCATAGACAGGGAACAGTATAGCATTGTTTCATGTTTAAAATGTAAAGTGTGCTGCAATGGTTCATTCAACAATGTAAAAAAATCCTTGGCCCTTAAAATACAAATAAAAATTAGGACCGTAGCACAGGGGTATAAAACAGTATACAGCCTTACTGTCAGGAATACACAAGTACACACCGCTGTGTGCACTCGGTACAATGCTTAACTGAAGATAAGGGTAATATTAACAACCGCAGCTCAAAATTTTGGCTAGCGTGGTTTTAAGGCAATGAAGCAGAACATTAAAGTAGAACTTACTCAGGTCTTTTAACCAGAAGAGCTTTGATGAAATCCACAGCAGATTCTGATACATTTTTAGGCTGAGGACATCATGGATTCATAGACAGGGAACAGTATAGCATTGTTTCATGTTTAAAATGTAAAGTGTGCTGCAATGGTTCATTCAACAATGTAAAAAAATCCTTGGCCCTTAAAATACAAATAAAAATTAGGACCGTAGCACAGGGGTATAAAACAGTATACAGCCTTACTGTCAGGAATACACAAGTACACACCGCTGTGTGCACTCGGTACAATGCTTAACTGAAGATAAGGGTAATATTAACGACCGCAGCTCAAAATTTTGGCTAGCGTGGTTTTAAGGCAATGAAGCAGAACATTAAAGTAGAACTTACTCAGGTCTTTTAACCAGAAGAGCTTTGATGAAATCCACAGCAGATTCTGATATGAGGTCAAAATCTTCAGAGAAGTTTACGTTCATCTGAGATATATTTAAGAATGTCTCCTGTTTATTATTTCCCAAGAAAGGAGAGACTCCTGTTAGCATGACATAGGCTAGTACTCCAATGCTCCTAAATTGAAAACAGAAAATAAAGTCATGAGACCTGAGATGGGGGAGGATACAGTCCATTTTTTAAATAACAGTTCAGTAAAAAAAGAACTTTCCTTACCACATGTCTGTGGCAGTGCTAATTGGGTCATAGCTCAGGACTTCTGGAGCTGGAGCAGAAAGGATTTAGTTATTATGTTTTCTTCAAACAGTGTAAACATACCAGTGTATACAGAAACATCCTGGTGCTTCCACAGCTTTTGCTAATGAGGGTACCAGCAGTTTGTGATCAACGTAGTGTGCATTCATTGGAACCAGTTTTTTCTTGCACTGAGTCTCAGCTTCTCTGAATTATTTCCACAGTGCAAAAACTAAATCTCCGAAGGCAACCTATGTTAGATCTAAGACTTTGACAAATATTTCTTTACTGAGTGACACAACCATGTTTCTTATGCTCCACGTACATTGTGGCCCAAGCATAACAATAACTTATGCCAAGAACTTACCCACATATTCAGGTGTCCCCATAATTTCTCTTAGTTCTTCACTGTTGTTCATTACTCTGGAGAGACCAAAGTCAACTATCCTAACATCTCCCAAGGGTGAATTGCTGGTAAGCAGAATGTTCTGGGGCTAAAAATAAAGAAATGGAAATACTGTCATTGTGACAATAGTCTGCCTAGGAAAGCTGCACACATGCTCTCATTACTTGGAGTCCTTCCAGAGCAGACTTAGAAATCTTTTTAACACCAAAACATGAAAGGACACAAAGCCTCTAAAGGAGTGTTCAGGACATTTCTGTCCAGTACTTATTCAGATCAATATGGAGCTTTAAATCTATACCTACATTAACTATCATAAAGAAACAGAACACTTTCAAATGAAATTTTGTGCTCTGGATGGGTGTGTGTTAAAAGATATTCTAGTTATGTCACCATACTCTAAAATATATGCTAAATATATACTATATAGTAAAATGTATGCCTGTGAGCACTATGCAATTATTAACATCACCAATTACAGCCAAATTTATTGTTTGGAGTTTAGTAAGTCCACTGGAGACAGTTTAATGACTTTCTACATAAACAGTATTAGACTGGCCGCATTTAAGTCCAAAGTTTAAATCCAGATCTGGATAAAAATAATAGAGATATACTGAATAGGTTTAATCAGTATAGGAAAACACTGCTTAATGACAGGATAGACTAGTTGCCTCCATGAGGTTCGTGTACCCAGTGTCATCATCTGTTTTGTAATCTCATTGAGGAACTTAATTTATGAAGTATCCTTTGTATATAAATCATCATATATAAAACCACCATTGCTAAAAAGTTGACGAAGTTCATTTCAACAGCTCTGTTCCAGCTCAGCTTTTCATGAAACTCTCCCTGCTTCATTTAACTGAAATGGTATACCCACAATACTCCTAGGCCAAAACATAACAGGTTTATACCCAATGTCTCAACTGATACAGTGAAAATCACCATACAATCACACCTACAGTGGCTACCAATAAAATAGCTACTACATCTCCCCCACCTCCTGCCATACCAGCTGCAACAAATCAATGAAACTAAATGGAAGGTCTGGGCAGAAAGCACTCTCAAACAGGCAAGGGTAGGCATCCAGTAAGATGATGCAGGGAGAGAGTTCCAACACGGCAAGGTCAATGCCCTCTTCATTCTTTGAGAGTGGAAACACACAAAGAAGAGCCTCTGCAGGTTATCTCCCTCACAAGGGACAAATCAGTCTTTAGGTACTGTGCCCCCAAACCATTTACAGCTGTAAAGGTCATAGCTAGCTCTCTGAATTGTGCTCAAGCGTGCGGAGGCAGCCAATGTAGCTGTTTCTTTACTGGCAAAACATGTTCTTGACAGCTAGTGCCAGTCAATGAAGCTGCTTCACGTTGCTTGCAAACAAAAGCAACCCCAAATTAACAGTCTTATGCAATTCCCTACTAACTCAGGACCTCATTAGATGCCTTCTCAGAACCTTCTTGGTGTTTCCTTCATTCTTTTACCCTATGGGCTCTGTGAAGAAATGCATTTTTTCCTGGGAGGTTTGAAATGAGCAAAACCTCCACTCTGTGTTTTAATAGTTTTTTTCCTCTTCTAGGCAGAGAATGGGCAGGAGAGGAAGATGTCAGTGCAATTGCTTTCTAGACTTCCCTCAGTCCACCTGCATACAAATGCTAATACGTCTAGACAATGGGATGGTCAAGTTTCCCCCCTTCTCCCCCTTTAGAAGAAGAAGAGAAGAGAAGAGATTGGATTTATACCCCGCCCTTCACAACCCAAAGGTGTCTCAGAGCGGCTTACAAACTCCTTTCCCTTCCCCTCCCCACAACAGACACCCTGTGGGGTAGGTGGGGCTGAGAGAGCTCTGGCAGAAATGGTTCTTTTTCAAGAACAGCTCTTATCAGAACTATGGCTTGCCCAAGGTCATCCAGCCAGGTGCAATTGGAGGAGTGGGGAATCAAACTCTGTTCTCCCAGATTAGAGTCCACACACTTAACCACTACAGCAAACTGGCTCTCCACTACAGCAAACTGGCTTTAAAGCAGGGAACAGAGATTTGGAGAAATTAAATGCTAGAGGGACACCAGGAAGGAAATGTCTAGAATTTTCAGGAAACGCTTCTCTGACCTGGCCTCACCTGGTTGAAGGGTGGGGAAAGGAAGAAGATAAAACTCCTGGGAGCCAGGTGGAAACTCTCTTTCTTTGGGTGCTGAGTCCATGGGAGCACACAGACCTTTCTGCTGGGAAGGTAGCCATTGACCATGTGCTGGCCTAAAAAGCTGGAGGGATCTTCAATGGTAACTCTATAGGGATCCGTAACTTCCTATGCCAGAGGAGCCGGTCCTATATTTTAACATCTGATAGGGCATGTATAGGGAAAGGGACAGAGGATTTGTTTTACCCATTTCTTTTGGAATCCTTTGCTCAATCTGGTGCTGTGCTTAAAGTATGCTTGTAAACATTTTCTTTTTAATAAATACTTTATAACGTTTGATGCTCATAGCAGTACTCTGTACCACATAGACCTCCACAGACTTGGACATGCTATTTTAAATGGAGTGCCAGGGGGAAGTTTGCAAGTGGCTATTCCTCCAGGGGCGCACAAAGCAGTAAACTGTCCCCATGGTGATCAGGTGCTGGGCTGTGGGAGACACAGAGGCAAGGCCTCAGAACTTGGAAGGGAAGCTGGAACCCTCCCAGCGGGGTCAGGTGGCAGTGCTTACTGGAGAGAGAGAGAGAGAGAGAGAGAGGGAGAGAGAGAGAGAGAGAGAGAGAGAGGGAGAGAATCCTCTCCAGGTGTTAGGAAAACCTTGGAAGGCAGGGTGGAATAGGGCCTGCAGGCCAGAGCAGGCCCCTGCCTCCACAGGCTCCTTCACCCTGTAACACCGTTCTTATATGTGCCCTGCACCGTTTCTTTCCCCTAGCTTCTATTGATCCACACCACTTCCATCTCCTACCTGAAGTAACTACGCTTGTTATAGACTAAGTTATAGACTAACCCTAACCCACATTCCCATCCAATAATTTCAGAGGTTAGTGAATTATACTTATGAATATCATGAGCTTTGCCTTCTGCATATGAAGTCCAGTACTGAGTTCCTCACTCCTGTTTGTGTCCATGGTCTGTATCTTCCTACAAGAACCTCACCTTAAAAGTACCATCTAGTATAAAAACTAGAAATTAAAGACCATCTTAAACCAGGAACAATAACTGAGCTGAAATATCAAGGGAGGAATAGTGCTTGCAGTAGAGACTGGGAGAGCAGCAAGTTGGCTCAATTAAGTGACAGTCTGATACAGGTGAACAAACATGAAGATGCCTTACATTTCAGATAGTTGGTCTATCACCTCAGTGCTGTCTACTCTGGTAGCATCTTGTCAAGGTATCAGGTAGAGGTCTGCCATATCACTTACTGCCTGATCCTTTTAGCTGGAGCTGCTGGGGACACAGGCTGGATAGATGCTGCATTTGGTGGTGGTGGAAAGCGCCCTCAAGTTGCAGCTGACTTACAATGGCTTTGTAGGGTTTTCAAGGCAAGACATGGTGGTTTGCAAACGTCTGTCTCTACATAGCAACTCTGGACTTCCTTGGTGGTCTGCCATCCAGGGACTAACCAAGGCCAACCCCGCTTAGCTTCTAGATTGAGCTAGTTTGGGCCATCCAGGTCAGGGGGAAGTTCCATTTAGGAATGTGGACACATGCGTCTCAAATAGACAAAACTGCCCATTCTATAATAAGCCCACTGTACAACTAAGCACAGAAAAAGGAAAGTTTGAAAAGATTCAAGTGCATTTTTCAGGTTGAGTATGTTACAAATAGAAAGAACTAGAAGTTTAGTTCTCAATACTGCATTAGTTCCATGGAGTCACAATCTTACCTTCAAGTCAAGATGAACTACATTATTATGGTGCAAAAAAGAAACCCCTTCCAAGATCTGCTTCATGAGACGCTTAACATCTTTCTCTTTGAAGGCATCTTCTCTCTCAGCTACACACTGGTCAAAGATTTCCCCTCCAGCAGCACTAAGGAAGAGGATTGTTTTAGTTTAACAATTAGTGTTAAGAAGTTATGTCGTAGGTCAGTAGTAATTCAGTGTCAGGCAAAGATGCTGAAAGCCCACAACATAGAGACCAAAATTTGTATATCATTGGCCTGCTCAGCAAAGTTTGAAGCCTTCTTCCAGCATAAAGAGCCTTCCTTTGACAGAAGTGGTTCTTCTGCTAGAGAAAGAACTACTTTCACTGGAAAGAAAGCTTCACATTTTGTTGAATGGAGTGATAAGATAGTGGGTTTTTTGTGGTGCAGTGGTAGGATATAGGCCAGGGATTCTTCTATTAAGGCAATATTTACAAAGACCGAACACTGTTTCCCAGTTCCATAATCCGAGTCTTAGTGTCCTGTTTATTGGATGTCTCATGCTGTCTGATCAAAGTGCTTTTATATTTTGCAGTCTGCCTTGAGTCTCAGAAAGGAAAGCAGGCTATAAATGTATAGATAAATACTCTCTTGACTTTAACATATCAAGAGGATACAAGTGGTAAAGATACATGCAGCTCACCTTCAAAATGAGAATTCTCCTCTGGACACAAACACTGCATCTTGAACATAAGCTGGTTAAAACCCACTGTGGCCCCGGTCACACGGAGTATTAGGCAAGCTAGAGAGACGGAAGATAGGTGGATTTTCCGGGCGCGATCTCACCGCCACATCTGGGAAGCGTACAGCTCCCGTGGCCCACCCGAGGCTTCCCGCCGAAGATGCGGGATAAAAAACTAGTACCTCGGAGGTACTAGTTTCCGGAAACTGCGGGGCAAGGGCGGGCATCTGATTGCGTTCCCGGTGGTAGTTCCAGCGTCCACCCATGTCCCCTCGCACAAAGGTTTTTTTCCCCCCAAGTCTCCACGGATGCGCACAAGCACCCAATGGTATGTATAAGATTGCAGCTAAGACTGTTTAACAAGGGATAACACTGACTAATAATGCTTCTTGATACCAAGGGTAAAGATTGAGGCTAAACTAAAACACTCAAATGAAGAAGTTGCCTGGAATTCAGCAGTGCTTTCCTCTATGGGTCACAAGGCTTTGAGCAGTTTCACATAAAAAGAACATGGCAAACCTGGTATGTTCACTAAACAACAGCATCTTAGTGCATCTTTTCACCGTGAGTCCACGTAAGTGCTCTTATTTGTTAGAGCACATCTAGCAGTACGAGTATCACTGATGTTCTAAATTCTAAGCGCATGTAACCCTACAGGCCAAGCAGCACTGAGGTGAGAATGAGCTGTGTGAGCTTTTTTTTTTTTTTTTTGGGGGGGGGGTTCCAAGCTTTTATAAGTTAAAAGCAAAATAGACTCTGACAACAGGAAAGCAGTTTTTTTCCAATTTGACTATTCCATAATATTGGGGAGGACTACACAACAAACTTAATAAGCAATTTATGTGAACAGTCATGTCACTTCATGCTTGCTGCATCATCGCCCTGCGTCATTAAGTACTTCATATTAAAGTAAAAAAGCTATGTATACCTAGATCTGATGCTACAGAATATTTAATTCTGTTACTACTTGGGTTATTGCTCAGTGGAACCATATCTGATTTGTTTTGAACATGAACTGCATACCAAAGATCACTCTCTTATTTGCTATGTTTTCTTTTCTCCTTTTTTTTACAAGCATAATGAAAGAAGAGTAGTTTTTTATACCCTGCTTTTCTTTATCTTAAGGAGTCTCAAAGCCATTTACAATCACCTTCCCTTCCTCTCCCCACAACAGGCACCTAGTGAGGTAGCTGAGGCTGAGAGAGCTCTAAGAGAACTATGACTGGCCCGAGGTCACCTGGCAGGCTTCATGTGGAGGAGTGGGGAATCAAACCCAGTTCTCCAGATTAGACTCCACCACTCTTAACCACTACACCACACTGGCTCTAATAAAGAATCTCCCATTTTACCCTCATCCTAACCCAAATCCTTCCCCAAGGGTTAATGAAAAATAGCATTTCTTCCACATAGAAGTGCAAGTTGCAGAGTTGGACATTTATCTTCATGCGTTAGTCTGATTATAATTAAGTAGTATTTTTGTAACCCTATTGGAGGGCACATTCTGCTATGTACTATGTATTTCAGTATCTTCTCAACAGTATTCTTACAAGTGTCTAAACTTAGAAGTACTCAGTATTTCGCACATTCTGCTATGTACTATGTATTTCAATATCTTCTCAACAGTATTCTTACAAGTGTCTAAACTTAGAAGTTCTCAGTATTTCGCAGATCTTTATGGATGCTTGAATAAGTATATTTACACAAAATATACTTAAGGCAAATACAAAAAACAAGCATCACAACTGGAAGTGTCAAAGTAACGATCACTCTCTAACCCTTCTGGCCTAAAGCATCCCAGTTTGCTTCTTGGCTGTTAGTTTTCAAAAATGTATAGTTCAGAATAATTATTTCTCCATCCTAATAATATTTTCATCTTTCACTGAGATGCATTATATGATAAAGGATCAATTTGCATTCTTCTGTGGAAGCTTATATGATAGAGAAAGGATCAATTTGCATTCTTCTGTGGAAGCATTCAGAAGGAGGAACAGGGTTGGGGGGGAAATCTTTTATGAATAATGCCAAGCATTTTTCCTGTTGTGGAGGTTGTTTTCCAAAATCTGAGGCTTTCTCTCCCTCAAAATCAACACTGTAGGCTGCCAAGGACTTGAAACTATGTATCCCAGCTCTGGTCACTGCCTGCATTCAGGATGAACAACTGGAGTCCAACCCTTTCAACAAATCCAGACCAGCTTGTTGTGCATGACCAACCAGTGCTGGATTTTAAAAGGCAGAACAGAAAGACCTCCCAGTCAATGTTCCCTCTAAGCTGTGGAGTCTTGTGAGCAAAAATTCTACTTTGTGAGCTCCTGGCATTAAAGTTGTGAGCGAGCAACTTGGCTACTGCATAAATTAGTTTGCTCCGGAGCCCTCCTTCCTGAGCGAAGGCAAAAATGTGTGAGCTGGAGGCTAAGAAACTGTGAGCTTGCTCACACTAACTCAGCTTAGAGGGAACACTGCTCCCAGTGACAACTACCCAATTCCAGAATTTAACACACTTTCTAGACACTACCAACTGCAGAAATCGATAAAGTTATTACAAATATTTGCCCTACTTTTCCAATGTTCATGACCACTGATAAGCAGGTGGTAGCATTGGCCAGCTGTGGCCTTTCTTGGGCAAAAAAAGAAAAAGGAAGAAATTTTGCTAATGCTGCATGCCCTGGTAACAGATGAATTAGACTACTGTAATATGCTCTATGTGGGGCTGCCCTTGAAGAGGCTCTGGAAGCTACAGAATATTGTGGGCAGAATACAAAACTGGAATGGCTCGTAAGAATCACATCACTCCAATCTTATTCCATCTACACTGGCTCCTAAATTGCCTCCAGGCCTATTTAAGGTGCAGGTGTTGATCTTTGAAGCCTGATATTGCTTGGGGCCAACATACCTTAAGGAGTGCCTACTACCTTTTGGACCTACCCAGCCTCGACATCATTTCCGAGGGTGCTGCTTCAGGTGGCACCCCAACCTTCTTGGTCATGGCCCTGAAGTCATGGAATGCCCTCCCTAGGGAGACAGCTCTATCCCCCTCTACTGTTGTGTTCCACAAGACTTATCTGTTTTGTTTGGTCTTCTATCATTGACCCTCCTTCCCACGTATGTGTTAAAAGTATATATAATTTTTCTGCTACCTTGGAGACCTTACGTTTTGCAGAAAGGCAACGTAGAAATGTTTAAAATGAACGTGTCAGCCATACTGAAATCAGATCAGTTCCTTATGCAACTACTAAGCTGTGTCTTGACAGTGGCAGCGAGAACTAATGCCATTTAGGAGAACGTGTGTCTTCGTTTTAGACTCAAGTCACGTAAAAACACATTTGTATGTGATGTAGGAATTGTGAGATTACTACGAATTAGCTGCATTAAAACAGTCGGCATTCTTATTTTGGAAGAAGAACCTGCAACGCTTTCATATTAATGTATCATGCATTATTATGGTTACAACAATAATAAACCTTGAACTGGTAGCATTACATTCTCTTGCTAAAATAATCCCTACAGCACCAAATTAAGAAGATGCTCGCATTCATGCCAGTTATATTCCAATGAGTCAAAATGTTCCAGGAATATTAGCAATCAACTTATCATAAGACAGTCTATAATTATGTTCTTGGAAATCACACACACATGATGATACTCCAAAGTATTGGTCACCACTATTAAGATGCTCCAAGCTTCATGCATTCACAGTTTCAAGAACAGAATACAACAAGCAGGGGAACCTGCAAGGATTTTTTTTTGGGGGGGGAATCTCTTTTCCCACTATTTACTCCTTCTCTTCCCTTAAAGCCCTACAGTTTCCCCCCTTTCCTGCTTTCTTTTCTCCTCCCCACCCACCAGCCAGCCTACCTTTATCTGCCCCCCACTCCCAGCATTCCCCTTCTTCCCTCCTGGCAGCCTCTACAGAGGAAAACTATGCCCCAAATTTGTGGTGCCTGCCACTGGGTCCAGTTGTGTGGTAGGGAACCTGCAGGGACTTGCAGGGGGCACATCACTACCCCATGCATCTACATTCCCACACTATTTCTTCTTTTCCTTAATTTGGGAACTGCAATATTCTCACATTTTACTGCTTCCTTCTTGCTTCCCACTCACCAACCATCCTACCCTTTATCTGCCTGTCATATTCAGCTACATTTATTACTTTCTTCACTTCCACCTCACAGTTTTCTCAACAATGGGCACCCAAAACAGCATATTCTCCTCTCATCCATTTTATCCTTACAACAACTGAGGTAGATTAGGCTGCAAATGGCCCAAGGTCACCCTGTAAGCACCATGGCAGAGTGGGGATTCACACTTGGGTCTCCCATATCCTAGGCTGAAACTCTTAACTACTATACCACACTGGCTTTTGGGGCTGTGAGCTCCATTACCTTGAAGGTGCTAATTTGCAGCCATAAAACCCTTAATAGCTCAAAGGAAACATGTCTAGAAAGTTGCCTCATACCACTTACAGTCACCAAAATTGTGACATCTGAGCTAACTTACACATTCTTACCCAGAAATCTGTCTAATTTTGTTCAATGGTGCTTACTTCCAACATAAGTGCACACAGACTAAAAATATGAGTCACGACAAGTCCGAAGCAGAAATATTTCCTCAGCTAAGAATTTATAGGCTGGCTTCTATCCTTTCAGTCTCCGCAATACAAAGGGAAAAAACCCCAGCCCAGGTTTATTAAACTGATAAAGCGATTCTGGAGACCATATATGTGAAGCACTTCAAACCCTTGGGAAAAAAAATGTAAATCCTAAATTTTAAAATCAGGAATATTTAGCATTATCTTTAGACCTACTACAAAATGTGTTTTTGTACAGGTGTCATTTTAAGTGCATATTCTGTACTTAGCTTAATATTTACCTCAATATATGCATCTTTTTGAAAGTTGTAACTTGCCTTGAGCCTTAGAAATGAGGTGAGATGAAAACTGAATAAGACCAATAAGCTGAAGATACTTTTTTACCAAATTGTAACATGTCACTGAATAAAACATCTCTCATTTGATAAAATAGACATCGTAATGATTGATACTTACTATTCCAAAACCAGGATAATTTCTGTTGGCGTCTCATAGACTTCATGCAAGCTAATAACCCAATGGTTGCGTTGTGCCAATTCCAGAACTGCTATCTCATGAATTATCTCCATCCGGCAATCTTGACCCTTTCGTCGTTTTCTCATGAATTTTGCTGCAAACTCTTTTTCTGTCTCTTTCTTTACGCACTTCTTTACCACCGCAAATTTCCCCCTATAATGAGAGAAAGCACGTTGGCAGAGATAAGCAGTGTGCAGTTTTAAGCTACACTCCTCACAGAACAAGCCCAAAGTCCAAGGAAAACACAGTTGCCTGTGTCAGCTGCCAGGTTTCTTCCACCATATCCTCCAGTGGTTGACACGCGACAAATATGTAAAAGTACAGAAACAAAACACATATTTGGGGTGTTTGCTAACCTCAAACTTTTTTATTTTTGTATTTTTATATGTGCGTGTGTGTGTGCACCTGGAAGTTATGGCAACTTCTGTTGACTGCCTGTGCGTGCACCTGGAAGTCATAGTGACCTCTGGTCGCTGACCCCTACTGGGGGGGGGGGCTGGAGGATATTCAGAGAGGTGGCTGAATAAAGCCTGCCCCTGCCTCCTGACTGCTGGTATTCCAAGGAGGTCTCCCATCCAAGTACTTGCCAGAGTCGACCCTGCTTTGCTTCTGAGATCTGATGAGATCGGGCTTGCCTGGGCTGTCCGGGACAGAGCCTAACCTCAAACTCAATTCCGAACACCAACTGTCAAAACCCCCCATGTTTGTGGCACCAGAAGTGAGTGTCATAAATATCCAAACTTTGAACCCAAGGTACTGAAAAGGCATATTATTAAGAGAAACAAATATCATCAATCACCAGCATTGTTGGAAAGCTGGGTATCTTGTTCCATCCCAAGTGTAATCTGTCTACAGTGAGATAATCTGTCCAATAAAGGCTATTGCTTTCACCAAACCTACAGTACTCTGTAACAATTCACACGAGTGTCTGAATCAGTTGCAAAAACTCAGGGGACACTGGTGGGGACCAAAAAAAGCACCATAATGGCAAAAAAATATTGTTGGCAGGTTGTTTTGTGCTCCAGGTGTCCATGTGTGTATACAACAAGAAAACTATGTAGTAAATCACTGTACTTTGAGGTCATTGTTTACTAATGGTGCAGGTGACAATGTTCTAAAACGGGGAAAGTGTAAAGACGCTTCTGTATGCATTCTTTAAAAAAGACTAACTGGGGAAGAATTTTAATTAAGCCATCATAATCAACAAGCACCTGATACATTTGGTGCACATGCAAGAATTCATTTTGTAAAACAGTTCTCTTTTTCAAAACTGCAAGTCTTGCTTTTTATATACTCGGAACAACAAATAATGCTACCGAAATGCATAGAATGAGAGAAAGCCTTGCTTTTCTTTTAAGGGCATTGAACTATTCATACCTAAGGTTCAGCTGATCTAGTATTAGAAGCAAAAAACCCGAGAATGGATTTTAACTTCACTGAACAGACTACAAAGAAACAAACTTTGAATTTCACTCTCTTGATCTATTCCAAAGAGACTTCCACGGGGATGGCTCCACCACCAAAAACTCCTCAGATTGGACCACAGCTGATCTAACGGACCTGTGCAAGCCAACAGCCAGCAAAACTGATGTTGACAATTGGGTGGTGCACAGGTTCATGCCAGTAGAAACCATCCTTCAAGAACATGGGTCCTGGTCATGAGGGGCTTAAAAAGGCACAAACCAGCACCTAGAATCGAACCCACAAACACAGGTAACTGAACTGTTTCAAAGTGAGTACAGTATGATCAGACCTATGCATGTCAGTCAATAGACAAACAGCTGTACCCTATACCAACCAAAGCTTCCAGATTATCATCAAGGGCAGTCCCATATACAGCATGTTTCTACAGTCAAGCCATGAAGTTACAGAAGCAATGAAAAAGCAGTTACGTCTAACAGGAGAGACCGTTTGTAAACTAAGTATAGTTGTGGGGGAAAGCATTCTCCACAAACGTGTAGACCTGATTCCTTAACAGGGCAGGACCAAAACTCCAGACTTGTTACCGAGTTTGTCAGACAACATCCAATGTAAAGTATAATCTTCAGAATCTCAGTCCTTCCAAACTGCAATACTTCTGCCTTGTCTGAATTCAATTTATCCTCAGCCACGATTCTGACATTCAGGCACTGATGAAGAACAGAATAAGACATTGGAGGCAGCAAAGAACTACGAGGGAACACCAGGATACCCAACCCTAAAGTTCTGGATGACCTCACTTAAGTCTCACATCAAAAGCATTAGCAAAAGCACCGGTCCCTATGGAATACCACTAAATCGATGGTACAGGATTTTTTCTAGATTACTAACAATGACCAGGCCCATCCAAACAAGTGACTGAAACCATCCTAGTACTGCTCCTTTAATATCTGCCCTGGTCTGAAAGTGTCTCAGCAATACAGACAGGTCTATTGTACAAAAGAAAGATTGAAAGCAGAAGTGACGCATTTCCTCTGTCCATCTGCAAACAGAGATAATGTACCAGACCAACATGCGCCATCTCTGCCCCATCTCCAGGCCTGAAGCCAGAACGAAACTAATCAAACCAGACCCATCCTAAAAATGTGATTCCTAGATTTGATGGGGACAAAATGAAGCTTAGCAGCAGACACAGGCAAGTCATTTCCCCACTTAAAATAGAAAGAAAAATAAGCTGTCCGGTTTTACAGCTTGCAGCCTGCCAACCCTTTTTTGAAGTCTCATGTGGCATGAAATTACCATATCCAACACAGCTGGGCCCTATGAACCCAGCCCTGTATTAACCAATTACACAGGAAAACCTGTCCAGACTCTCAGCTTTTATTGGTACAGTTACGTCTGCAATCCTGTAGTCAGTCTATGCCAGCTAGAGAGCCACAGGATGGTGACTGAGTCCCTGTGTCAGCAATCCTGAAAATACACTGGTGTAACATCCCCATGACACCAGTGTAAGGACCAGAGTTGGACAGCGAGTGAGGGAATCAGTTGGTATCTTTAACTCCTCCAATACCTCAAGCCCATGGCCAAAAGTTTAAATGGCAAAAGAGGTGGCGTACATTGTCCTACTCTACAACGGACAGCCTGAAATAGCTGCCTACTGTCTCCCGGGCTGCCTGTGCTACTCAACAAAGCATAGGATTCTAACAGCACAGCACACCATATATACCACTGCCAAGACACCCATATTTCAGGCAATTCTAGTTGTGTGCATGGCACAGGACTATACCACTCAGGGTTCATACTGTTCCACTTAGAGCCCGTGCATACACAAAAGGTGGGGAGGAGCTTTGGAACACAAAAAACAAATACAGAGAATGTGCTGCTAATACTGGTCTCTCAGAACTCCTACAGGAACTTCACCACAGATACCCAGCAAAACCTGCTATTCCATTCTTCCAGTTGCAGGTCCAAGGACAACGATAAGGAAAAAAGTAAGGAAAAAAGGTCCCCATGCCTCAAAGGAATTGATGCAGCAAAGTGAAATGTCCTTCCTTTCCCCACTGCACCATCCAGCAATATATTGTCACCACATGTTGGTTAACAACCCTTCCTCTGTCAACAGGTCCAGCAGTATTTACGACACTAGGGTACAAAATAAACATGCGCCCTGTACATGGGGATCCTCTGGCCCATGAAAGACCACATGCAGGTGAGGCTCCACCAGGCATTAATGAAGGCAAACAGGGAGGGGAGCCACCTCTGGTGAGCACAGGGCAATCTACTCCCACCACTGCAATTACAGGTTACATACTCATTTCCATTTTACCTTGCAGGGTTACAGCCAAGACACACACAGCAGGATAAACAGAAATTAGCTGAGGAGTTGCTGCATAAGATATGCTTGGATTGCCCAAGCTTTTTTCCTTGTGTATCTTCCTGTCAAAATGTCATCTACCATTCCAATGTATTTGAAAAAGTGTGCCTTGCACACGGAAGCTCATACCTTGAATAAACCTTTGTTGGTCTTAAAGGTGCCCCTGGAGTCTAAATTTGTTCTACTGCTTCAGACCAACACGGCTTACTACCTGGGTCTGTCAAAATGATAGTTTGGGTAGTATTTATTACATTTTCATCCCACCTTTCTCCCCCAAGGAACTCAGGGTAGCTTGCACCACTTCCTTCTTCATTTTAGCCTGAAAACCACCCTGTGAGCTAGGCTAGGCAGAGCTTCATGGCTGAGTAGGGAACTGAACCTGGTTCCCTCCTAGTCCTAGTTAAGTTCTTAACCACTACATCCACAGGCATACAGGGATTGGACTTCAACCTGCAGGAATCCATGGAGTATAGAAGTTAGGTCTCCTACTGGAAGCAGCACAGTGATTCATACACACAAGAAGCTGCCTTCTACTGAGTCAGACAGCTCATCTATCAAGGTCAGGATAGTCTATTTGACTCACAGCGGACTTTCACATCACCTGTGACACAACGCTTTTTTAAGTGGAGATGCCAGGGACTGAACCTGAGATGTTCTGCATGCAAAGGAGATTCTCCACTACTGAGCCACACCCCTCCTAAGGGCAAAGTGTTGTGTTTACCTCATATATTCTGCTGCATGTGAAGTGGGACATGGAAAACATCATGGAATAGTGCCACCACTACCATGCATTACCATGCACCGTTATCACACAAACGTTGTAGGCATGTCCACCTGTGATTAGTGCTCCAGTGATGCTCCTATGATCACAACTCCTCAAAGTCCGCCCCCATCTCTCTACCTAAACAACACAGGATACCTACTGCCCTCCTTCCAAACAGGTAGATCACCATGATCATCAGCCAGTTGCTCAGAGTCTGCAGATATTAACAAAAGGACACTTGGATCTCTGTCCCCTCCCTCCCAGGAAGACCACCATCTCCAGGGGAAGACCAGCTTGGGCAAAGGAGCTGCAGAGAACCTGTTTCCCCCTCAATGCCAGTAACAATTCTGCTCAACTGCCAGTTACCAAAATACATTAAGGGCAGGCCTTATGCTACCAGTTATTAGGTTCAAGGGCTGTTGACTTTTTTTTTTTAGAAATATATGCAAGGCACCTTGAAAGATAGTCTGACAAAAAAGGTGTAAAACTTTAAACAAATTGGGCTATACTTGCACTAGCATATGTGTTGGGTATTACAAGTTGAAAACACTCAGTTTATCTGGGGTTAAATGTTTGTTTATGTTACTCACAGGAAGT